GTAGCATTTGTCAATTGAGCTTTGGGATTGAATACATTAGGCGTTAGCAGCAATGCAAGTGTCCACATGAAGAGTGTTTTTAACAGTCCCAATAAAGAAGTTAGGGTTAATTTAGTAATTCAAAAGTTTACACTTGACAATTAGACATAGTATATCCACAGTTCGGCCAAGAGAAAAGATCTATACTACTTGAGACTTGAGAGGGAATGTGAAAAGGTTATTTTAATATTGCAATTATTTATCTTTTAAAATTTTAATCTATTGCCTTTAAAATGATGCATTAAAAGTGTACAAGAAATAATCATATGTTTCTCAAGTTGTTAGAGTCTGGGGATGAAATTGCCTTTTAAAAATTAATTAAGCTTAAAAGAAAAACAAAAGCTTTTCACTTCAAGAGACTTTATAAGTAATAACTGGTTGTTGTGCACGTGTCAATACACGTGGATTATTTTGAGTTTCAAATATGTATTTTATTGTCTTAACAATTATGAAAAATTCAACCCATAAAGTTGCAAGAGACTAATCATAACACAAAACATTCCACTGTAACATTAAAAATGTGATAAATTTGAATCGTTTATATAAGTGTAATATTAAAAATATGACTAATTCGAGTCCAATTACATTAAAAATACTGACTATAATATTAGAAATACAACAAATTCGAGTAATTCATATTTCATATAAATATCAAATAATTATACAAACAATGCAAGACACTAAACAAGTCTAATTTTGGGACCAAACAACACACACAAAAAAAAACAATGGAAAATCTATTCCTTTAATCGAAAGAAAAAGAAATAAATTTTAATTGAAAATTAGAACAACCCAATAATAACAACATTATTTGCTTCTATTATTAGCCTCACTTTACAAAACAATCCAAAAATGGAGTCAACCACCACAATATTTCCTATTGAATTTCACAATGTACCAATAATTTTGAAACTCTAGGTAGACAAAAAGATGTACAAAAGACTTTCTTAACAAGTAAAATGATCAAAAAAATCCACATTAAGGTAAAGAATGCATAGTTTATCAGAATGTCTATTACATAAATTTTCTCTATCAATTAAAATCAAGTCAAAAAGTCATAAATGCTCCTAGTTTTCTATACAAATCACTAAAACAAGTACATGACAAAAATGAAAGATTGAAGCAAGATATCATGGTAGCTGGTGGAAAATAAAAACTATCATCATAGCTACTAGAATTGGCGGCTTGCTGGGAATTGTCTCTAAGGAACGATAAACCTTATAAAAACATCAAGACCATGGGTAGTGGAATATATACTTGGGAAATTTGGAGCCCGGTTCTCTTATATGGATTTGTTTAGACTTAAATCCGTCAAGGAAACTTATTTGTTATAAAATCCGTTTTTTGTCAATTTTATCATACTATCTATTCTCTTTAAAAGTGAAATAAAACTAAAAATTAAATATTCTTAAATCTTAAGAGTTTCACTAACATTAAAATATTTTCTCTCTCATATCTATCTATATCCATATATATGTTAAGAGTTTAACTAACATTAAAATTTTTCCTCTCACTTATCTATTTATATATAGGTTATATATATGTATATATATAGTAACATTAAAAATAAAAATAGTAACATTCAAATACAAAAAAAAGTTATCATTTGGACACAAAAAATAATACATTTAAACACAAAAAAAATAGTAACATTTAAACATAAAAAAAATTGAAACATTCAATATTAATATTTTTAAAGAATAACAACAGTAACATGTTCAACAAAAATAGTAACATGTTTAAAAAAAACTGTAACATACTTAACAACAATTATGTCTCTCAAATTCAAGCACAAAAAAATAGTACCATTCAATACAAAAAATAGTAATATTCAAAAAAAAAATAGTAACATTGAATACTAATATTCAAGAAAATAATAGTAGTAACATGGTTAACAAAACACAGTAACATACTCAAAAATAATAGTACATGAACAATAACATACTCAATAAAAACAGTAACATGAACAGTAACATAACAAAAAAAATAGTAATATGAATTTGAATTTTACTATTCAAATTCATAATAACTTTTTTTTTTTTTGTATTTGAATGATACTATTTTTTTTAATATTACTTTATATATATATATATATGGATATAGATAAATAAGAGAGAAGAAAAATTTAATATTAGTCAAACTCTTAACTTATATATGGATATAGATAGATATAAGAGAGAAAATATTAACTTCCTTTTACGGAATGATATTTTTGAGATAGAATAAAAAAGTGGACTTAAATCATTACATATANGTCAATACACGTGGATTATTTTGAGTTTCAAATATGTATTTTATTGTCTTAACAATTATGAAAAATTCAACCCATAAAGTTGCAAGAGACTAATCATAACACAAAGCATTCCACTGTAACATTAAAAATGTGATAAATTTGAATCGTTTATATAAGTGTAATATTAAAAATATGACAAATTCGAGTCCAATTACATTAAAAATACTGACTATAATATTAGAAATACAACAAATNAATCATTACATATAATTTTAAACATGAACTTAGCCCCTTATAAGTTTCCTTACAAAGACTTATCTCCAAACAAGTACATTTAGGGGGACTCATTTCCAATTTTCACTATATACTTTGCAAGTCTAAACCAAAAGTTAACTAAACTATTATTTGATTAAAACCATTCATTCTAGAAGTCTAATACTAATAGTTAGAAGTTAAATTTATTCTAGAAGTCTAAAAGTTAAAACTGAATGAAAAGTATGAAAATAGAGTTTAATTTTTGGTAGAGATGGAGTCGTGAAAAATCGGAGGAGTTTTCTTGACTATAGGTATTTTAATGTAGAATAGAAGACGGGAATGAAAGAAAATAACACTAATTTGATTTTATATAATTGTTTGAGAATAATAAAGGTAATTTTCTTGGTTTAATAACATTGTAGAAGTAGTATAGATAGGTATAGATATATTGGTAATCATTGAATTTGTAGGTTTCTTTAAGGGTAGACACAAGATCAATTTTTTATGATTTAAGCCATAAGTGTCTTCATATATTTTTTAAAAAATAAAATAGAAATTCAAAAATTTTTGTATTTAGATCAAATTATTAGTGTGATGTATGATTGTCCTTATAATTTTGTTTAAAGACAAAAGAGAAATTCAAAAAAATTTCATCTAAAATACTTTAGATATAGATTTACAGAAAATTTCGCGAGGCACCATGGTCCAAAACAGAGAGACATGGGGTGGCGCCTTTCATACATCTCACCCATCTATTCATATACGCATGAAACACACCCATGGACTTGTGTAGACCGTGACACCCAAGAAAGTAAAAAGAGTAGGCAAGTTCCATTAAACGAGAGAGAATGTTATCAGAATCAAACCAGACCGATGATCGAAACCGAAGAATTGGTGAATCGGGCCCTAGACCAGTTCGGGTAGATAAAAAGACTGTCAGGGCAACTAAATAGATAAAGAATTGTAAAACCGGCGATTTTTGAGAAAACCAATAAACCGGCCGGTTTACAAAGCCAAGCGGTTCAAATATTAAATCATATAAATAAAAAACATAATTTTTTTGGGTAATTTTAGTCCTAAATAAATCAACCAAGCTCCCAGGCTTCTCTTCCATCTTCTCCAGTCCAGACGCACAGCAGCTCAACTCAGGCGAGGGGCCGGGATCGATCTCCTCGATCAGCTCAGCCACACGAAGGCTCAAACTCAACAAAGGCAATTGGTCTCCCCCTTCTCCTTCCTTCTGTTGTGGGCTTTTCCGCCGACTGGCATTAAGTTGTCGCTGTACATTGAGGATTGGTAGAGAGGACCAATTTTTTAACATGGTTTAGAGTTGGTGAACCATGTCAAAAGATTGGTTTGAATTTTTTTGAAATGGTTAACAGAAATTGGGTTGAGAGATGGGTGGATTGAATTTTTTTGACCTGGTTAACAGAAGCTACTGGGTTGAATTGCTGTCTCTCTCTCTGACAAAGCACTCATCTCTCAAATGGTCCACACGTTGAGGGAATCTTAAATCCGAAGCACCAAAAACACTTGTCGTTTTGTGATAAAATAAAGTGTTCTTTGGACGACGTTATATTAACATTTTAGATCGCCTTATGGATTTATTTTGGATAAATTATATTTTATCCTTTGAACTATTTTTTTTGTTTTATTTTGTATCCTTAACTATATATTTTTTTTCATTACACTCTAAAATATCAATTTTATTTTATAACAGTCTAATAGATAACGACTATTAATTTTTTAACGATAAATGCGTATGTGAGTGATCTGTACCGTCAATAAAAAATTATCTATTGCACATATGTTGGTCAAAAATCAAGAAAAATATTCGCTCACGACTTTAAGCTCCAAAATTTTTCCTCTTAATTGACCTTCTTTTTTTTTCCTCGCAATCATTTTGGTAGTAAAATACTAAAAAAGATAAAATAAAATGATACTAGATATTTGACGAATTTTTTTTTGAATTTTTTATCCCTTTTTTTGATAGATTTTTAATAGGGTATTAATCGTATTATTATTATTCGTGTCATGTTTATTTTAAAACAAATAAAAAAAATTTATTTAATATATTTTGAATATTAAACATGAATTTTAAATTATTTATTATATATATTTAATAATTGTGTAAATTTTATAACTCTTCGTATCGGATTTGTGTGACCGGATCAGAGTTGAAGCCCCTAATTGTCTAGATATTAATTCCGGGAATAAAGTATAATCTACTCATTTATTTCCGAGAGAAGATCAGCACTTATTTTCCACCACCATATATTTTTTTGAACCGCCAACCCCAATTACGGCCTTAATTTTTGCCCCAAATCTCAGACGTCTCCCCTAAAACTCCTCTCCCCCTCTTCTTTCTCTCACTGTCGGTCCACTCTCTGTCGCCCTCAACTCCCAAGCGCCCAACTGCCCCCCTCTCTCACAGGTGTGTCGTCTTCTCTTTCGCTGCTACTGGGTATCGAAAACCACCACCACCACCACCACCACCACCACACACACACACACACATATACAAACACACACACGCATGCAGATATGATTTCATCCAACACACCTCTCTCTACTCATCTCATTCCCCCGCTCTCTTCTATCACTTGCCACCGTCCTCATCCCACACCTCTCTCCAATTTGTTGAGTAATTGTTACTGTCCCGTTAGTGAAAATCACTATATATTGATTGATATTTTATGTTATACATTGATTTCAAGAGTAATTTTTTTTACATAGGCAATTACTAGGATTTGATAAATAGCAAAGTAAAGAAATCTAATTTTTTTTTTGGTTGAGCAACCCTAATTGAATGAAATTTGCAAGTTTAATTAGGAATTTAAGATACTACTTTGTGGAATTATGCTTCAATTAATGTGAATGTGATTGGGATTGTGAATTTTATTTGTAATGAGATTGTGATTTTTATTGTGATTGTGGATTTATTATATTTTATAATTTCTTTTATTTTTTTTATCATACGACTGGTTAGACCTAACGTTTGAATCAGTGAACCATTGCCCCGGTCTCAAGATCGAAGTCTGGTTCGGTTCTAATAACATTGCCCTACAGTTGTGGTCAATCAAGGCTGAACTGTTGTGACTTCATTTTACTGCCTTATGGTCTTGGTCTTTAGCCTTTACTCTTTTGCTGAGCATTTGATTTTGGACAGAAACGGTGAGAGGCGTGGAGGCATTAGAGAATGCTGAGCCTAAGCTACCACCAATCTCTCTCTCCAGCAGTACAAGTTCGCGGCAACCATATTGAGTCTTCTTCACCCTTCCCTTCCACTTTCACTCGTCGTCTGAACCTCAACTACATCACATCGTCTTCTTTGTCTTGGATGCTAAAACAACACAGTCCTCCCATGTTGCCATGCAGAGCATCGCTCGAAGTCCAAAGCACTTCCAATAGGTACCATATCTATTTTTTAATACCTAAAACATATCTAAGGGGGGTTTGAATTAGAGTACCGGAGTTGTTTGATATTTCAAAGTGGAACTGAATGGTTCTTGATAATGTCTGTAGGAACAAGGATTTACCCGTCCATGGAGTGTCGGAAACGGTTGTGGGTGTGTTAGGAGGAGGACAATTGGGTCGGATGCTATGCCAAGCAGCATCCCAGATGGGAATCAAGGTAATTGTTTTGGATCCTATGGAGAACTGTCCGGCAAGTGTATTAGCTCATTATCATATGGTGGGAAGTTATGATGATAGTGCTGCAGTTGAAGAGTTTGCAAAAAGGTTGGATTTGAATTGTATTGATGCACATTAGGTTTTTTACTTTAATATTTGTTTGCAAAACACTTCTAATTTCAGAAATTTTTACTTTTTTATGGCACTTTAACATCTTTATTCCTTAATTTAACCAAATGACGGTATTTTTATGAAAGCGGTGGTTGAACCCACACTTTTTAGGGTAAATCCGTGTTTCGTGTTTCAGTGAAAAAAGCTTACAAATGCGCAAACAAGCTTTTACATTGAAAAACGTGAGTTCAGTTCACGACCCATGCTTTCATAAGGACTAGTGCAGTTTGGTAAATAAGTTCAAAAAAATGGTAATATGGAAAAAAAAAGAAGTTAAAAAGGGATGGTATTTTAATCATTGATTCTCTAATTTCATTTTGTTGGTTAGTTTTTTACTAGCTAATTTTGAATTTGGTTAGTTAGGTGTGGAGTGTTGACGGTTGAAATAGAGCATGTTGATGCTGCCACTTTGGAGAAACTTGAACAACAAGGGGTGGATTGCCAACCTAAGGCCTCCACTATCCGAATTATCCAGGTGTGTTTTTTTGTAGTACGAATCAAATTTGAGTATAATTATGCAATATGTGGTCCTTCTTTTCTTGCCGTTGTTCATGCAACACTGAGGGATCTTGATTCTTTTTCTTAGTCATGATTGTCAATTTCTAAATGCTGTAGTTGTGGTTATTGGCATATTTGTTTTTGAAAAATATGTTGGTGAATCTTTGAGATGGCTACAAACTGCAAGGATTTATCTCTGGATTATTTTTGGCGTATTTTGTCATTTAAGAAATCACCATTGGTGCGACCTTCATGAAGCTGTGTCTTCTGCTATTACCCTTGTTTTTTTACTTCAGAGTTAATTGAATGCCTTACTAACTATTGTCACAAACACAGCTGTATGTTTTTCTTAATCAATATTCCAATCAATAATTTTGGAACTTCCATTCTTTTTGTGTGGGAAACAATATTTATCACAAGGTAGAGAAAACAACCCCAAAGGGGAGTGGTGGGAGAGAAGTTTTGTAAATGAGAAGAATCTTGAAGAACAACAAAAGTTATGATATGCTTTTTTACATAGCAGCTTTTGTACTCGTAGTTCTACAAGGACAAGTGGCCTGCCTCGTTTTGCCTGAACATGTTGAGGCTGTCAAAATGGAATAGCAGATGAGGGCCAAATGCCTGTATTAATACATTCACAAATCCATCATGAAATTTAATTTCTCATTTTGATGTGCTAAATATATGGACAAGAGAACCTCCTTTTGTGCCCAATAGTTTGTAGCGTTTTTATTTGTTCCAAACCTTACATATTTGAATGTATAAGTGGACTAATGGTGTTGGAACCAAGCCTGATTCTCTTTTTTTCTATTAGATCTCAACTTAGGATCATTGAAGCAAGTCCAATAGTGTTTAGATTCTTGGGCTGGAGATTATTAAGTTTTTTGATTCTATACCGAGTATTGGATTCATCCCTATCTCTTTGATTCTATACCAAGTATTGGATTCATCCCTATCTCATTAGACACAGACACGGACCTGGACACGTCATTTCTCAAAAAACGGACGCGCTACTTCTCAAAAAAATAGGATACGAACACGTTAGGGATACTCTATAAAAAATTATATTTTATATATAACATTATATGATTTATCGCAAATATAGTGATACTAATATTCAATTAATAAAAAAATTCAATATTTTATGATAAGTAAATCTTATGCATAGTCATTTGTGTGAATTTTTAGACTAAAACATTATCATAATAGTCAATAATCATCAATTTTTTTTTTTGTAGACAATGTATACTTAATATATAATTTAAATAATTGTTCTCCTTTTCTCCTTTTCTCATTTTTAAAATTTTTATGCATCTTTTATTTTTATTATTATTTTTGGAGTATAACTTTAATATGCTGTAAAAATTTTAAACTTTATTAATCATATTTCAACATATGTTTATTGTTTAATAGTAGATACGTTCTAAAGAAGTGTCGGACACGTGTCCGAAATTAAAATTCTTTCATTTAATTATGGTTATGGATAAAAGACTTTTGGACACGTATCCGAAGAGTGTTGGTATCTGAAACGGATACGTCACATTCTCGAGAGTGTTCGTGCTTCATAGTCGTTGAGTATAGTCCTATTTGATTCTTTTTTCTTTTTGACGAAAATCCTATTTTACTGGTAATAATATAAAAAAGGTTTTTCTTTTGAAAGTAAATCCTAGTTATCATTTAATCCGCTAACTTTATATAACTCCTTGGACCTTGACATACCAAAGAGGAGTTGTAGTCATTGAAATTCTTGAGGGTTTGAGTTTAATGGTAGCCACCTTTTACAAGTAAAATCTGATGTTGGACCTGAACTAGTCCATCCCTCCCAACACCCCAAGGGACCAAGGTAATGAGTCTGTCATAGTTTGTTCACCCTCTATATCCTGACTTCGACAACCTTTTTTTTTATGATAAGACTGACTTTGACAAGTTTGGTGTTGAGAATAAGTTCAATTGACTCAGCAATGTGCTGAATATAATCGTTTCCCTCCTAAATAGATGAACATATCATGAGTGGTAATTTGATTTAGCTTACTATTAACCTTGGATTCTGGTAACTTGCTGAGCTTATCTTTATAAATTGTTCCTTTCACAGGATAAATACCTTCAAAAAGTTCATTTTTCCCGGCATGCTATTCCATTACCTAAATTTATGCAGGTTAGCTCCTCTTGATGAACAACCAGTGGCCAATTTGACACTTCCCTGAAATGATTAGTTAATATTCTACTTTTTGACAATTAAATGTGGCAAAGACAGATAGATGATTTTGAAAGTGCTCAAAGAGCAGGTGACTTTTATGGATATCCTCTTATGATAAAGAGCAGAAGGCTTGCTTATGATGGGCGTGGCAATGCTGTTGCTAAAAGTGAAGAGGAGCTTGCTTGTGCAGTACATGGTAACCTTTTTATAATGCTTAAAGTAGGTGAAATGTGCAAAATTTCTATTGCTATGTTGCTAAAGTTTTTAGTTTCATAGAACAAAATATATAGTAGGCAGAAATAATGTGTTATTAAGTATGGAAAAAACAAGAAGCAAGGAAAAATTTAAAAGATTCAAGCTTGTAAATAATACTTACAAAATAATAAGAGAATTTAGCTATCCGTCTTGGTTGTTGTTCTACATTAGATATTGAGGAGGGAGAGGCAACAAACACGCATGAACCATTTTACGTAGTATGTGTCCGGATAGACCAAAGTCTCAATAGTTAGCTTGCGAGTGAAAATTCAAAGGCCATCATGCAAATTGGGGAAATGTGAAAAATTGCTTGGAGAAGTTATGAAATGAAAATTACAAAGAGGGCTTAGGTGTGGAAGAATTTATTAGCTATTGGGAGATTAGAGGAAAGAAGTTATTTTACAAAATATGAAAATGTGTTACAGAAATACAAATAGAAAATTTTTAGAACCTGATTGTATGCCAATTTAAGTATCAAATGTTTAGGTGGATATTAGAGTATTTTTTTAGCTCAACAAAATTGTGGCCCAACCAATTGGCTTGAACTACCTGTTTTAGCTTCTTGTTGGATGGATGACCAGATTTTATGTTAAACGACATGACTAAAAAACACGAACATGGACTTGGACACGAGATAGATATATGATACAATACGGACATGCAGACACGACATTTCTCAAAAAAGTAGGACATAGACACGTTAGGGACATGTTATAGATAATTGTATGTTATATATAAAATTATATAATTTGTTGCAAATATAGTGATAATGATATACTATTCGTAAAAAATTCAATACTTTAAGGTAAGTAAATGTTATGTCTAGTTACTTACCAAAAAAAATTGTTATGTTTAGTCATCTAGTGTGAATTTTTAGACTAAAGCATTATAAAGTCAAATAATCAAAAATTGTTTTGTTGACAATATGTACCCAACATATATAGGTTAAATGATTGCTCTCATTTTTTCAATTCTTTTTGTTTAAAACTTTTATGCATCTTTTATTTTTATTATTATATTTTAAGTACAACTTTAACATGTTTAGTCTTTGAAATTATTTGTTTTCTCATAGTAGAAAATAATTATTAGTCATTTTTTTAATCTTTATTAGTCACATATCAACACATTTTTATTGGTTAGTATTAGACACAATCTAAAGAAGTATTGGACATCTGTCTAAAATTAAAATTTTATCATTTAATTATGGATATGGATAAAAGATCATCAAACACGTGTTCGAAGTGTGCGATCAGTGTTGGTGTCTGACATGGATATATTACATTCTCCAGGGTGTCTGTGCTGACATGATATCATATCAGTTTTATTATTCTATTTAAAGTAAATTTAGGTTTATAATAAATATATCAATTTAAAAAATGTCGATGTGTGAAGGAAAAATATTTTAGTACTTTTATATGACATGCATCCAATTATTGAGTCATATAATGAGATTTTTTCAAGAAATTATCTGACAACGATTAACATTTTATATAGTAATCAGGTTTGTATTTATGTATTAGAGGTCAATAAAAAAAGTCTTATTTTTTTTATTGACCTACATAAGACATATGATAGATTTTTAGAAATCTAAAGTGATGGGTTTTAGGGAACAAAAGAGTTGATCATAGGTGTATATATATATACTAGGTGCACACAAGCGTATCACTTTGAGTTAACATAAAAAAAATAAAGGACAAACTTCATTTTACCTCCCTATAGTATTACCCAAATGCACTTTACCCCTTTAACATTTAAAAACCTCCACATAATCCCCATATGATTAGTGGACTAACCTGCAAAGTTAGATTTTCCGTCCAATTTAATAGGTTTTGGGAGCCACTCCCTACAAAAGAGGGTGTGAAAAATATATGTCAAAATGACAAAACTGTCCTCACCTTCACCTTCAGTCTCTTTCTCTATTTCTCTCTCTGTCTCCTTGCCGGAACCATCTCGCCACCACCCTAAGTCTTCCTCTTCTCTTCATTCATCTCTCCCTGTTTGAACCATCACTGATTCATCAACTTCAAAAAACCATGTAAGAAATCCAAATTATTGAAAAAAAAAAAGTGTTAAATTTGGTTTTCAAGAATGGAGTAGAGAGAAAAAAAATCTGCAATCTCTATTTTGCTATGGATTTTCAGTGGTGGTGGTGCGAAGGTTTTTGCGGAGGGGGTGGAGGAGATTATGTTTGCCATTAATGTTGAGTGGTGGGTGTTAGCTGGAGAAGGGAAGTGGTCTGTTGGAGAAGGGGAGGGGTTTGTTAACAGAGACAAAGACACACACACACACACACACACACACACACAGAATAATCGACGACTGATGTAGTTGGGTTTGAATCTGATGTGCAGTGGGGGCTGGTGGAGTTGGGATTGAATTTTCTATGTGAATTTTCTGTGCAACTTTTCTTAATTTTGTTGGGTATGGCATAAAATTGGGTAGGACAAAAGGGAAGGAAGATTGGTCCCAAGGAACTTTTTCGACATTGGTTTTCACTCCTCTAGGAGCTTTTTTCAGACTAGAATACCAGTGCCTTCTATATTCCGATGGCTTTCACTACACCGTGTCAAAGCTGCCTCAATTTTTAAAGTTCAATGGAGAAATTGAAGTTTAATGGCTGCCTTTTTTTTTTTGGTCAGACAAGTTCAATGGCTGCCTCAATTTTTGAGATTTAAGAATTTGATTTCACTCCACTGTGTCGAAGCTATTTGTGGTTAGTCACGGTGACAAAGAAGGTTGAAGGCGACTGAGAAGAAGAAGAAAGAGAAGTGGGGAAGAAGTGACAAAAGGGTATTAAGGCCATTTTATTGTTTATGGTGCACAGATTAGTTCACAAAGATTGTGAGGGTTGTGTGGACATTTATAAAACACTAGGAGGTAAAGTACATTTGAGGTATATCACAAGGGGTAAAGTGAAGTTTGCCCAAAAATAAGTGTATGAAGAAAAAATTATCTTTGTTGTTGCACATGATCTCCGTCCGACAATGCAAGGCAAAGAACTCATTAATCAACAAAAAATTATAGGTTATAACTTATGCCTATTAGAAAGTGGTAGAACATCTCAACCAACAATCCATCACATTCCAGATTGTACATGATTGAACTTTGGCCATAGTCTCGAGAATCTAGACCCTCTTATTACATAATCTTGGACTTTTTAGACAGATTATCAAAAGAAGATACAATTAATTAGTAATCATGTGTAATCACAAAAAGGTGCAAGTAAAAGAATAGGAAAACAAGAAAATGTAAAGCAGTCAAAACTAATGGATCCTGGTGTCATCATATGGAGTATCTGGTGTAGTGATTCTTGTTATCTCACTGATGCAAGAGGAAATTTATGACTTGCGACATCTGAATGCTTTAGAAGTTCGTTTGCAAACCAACACCTTCATTGATGGAAAAAGTACAGATGAGTTCTTCAACCTCAATAGAAAATTCTCAACTTGCTTAAGAATTCAAACAAGAATAAAAAACATTGTGTAAATGCACTTAAAATAAGTCCATTGAGAGAAAAATAACGAACTCAATCATTCCTGACATAAATGTTATTAAGTTAAAACAATAACTTGGGAAAATCCATTTTTGGATTTAAAATTAGCAAAAAAGAAGCCAGATTCACTCATTCCCACATCATTTGCTATCATATAACTTAGCAATTTAGCGGCGAAATCTAGAACTAACCAAACTCGTTTACCAACAACTCAACAAATCAGAATGTGGTGCGTGTAATCAATAGTTATTTGATATTTGTTAATCAATTGAAGATCTACTTAAACTATTAAAACATTTGATGCATCTAATCCAACACTTGCATATATTCAACTCATTCTCTTAACATTTGAAGCTGTTAAAGTTTAAAAGTTCCCTACCATACAAGACCGTTCCTTTGGGTGGCTTGAATTGGAGGGGATGAGTTTCAGCAGTTGTCATTTTATCCTCTTTCCACATCCTAATGGTCTTGTCTGCGTCACAATTTGTAATCCTCAAACTTGTAATGTCATGCACAAGAGAGCATGGATCCCAGCTTGACTATGGAGTGAACCTTAGAGAAAGTAACCATATAGATTGCCCTCTATGTTCAACAAACAGGGGAAGAGACGATGACATGAATCTAAGGTGCGTAAGATACATACCAGGGCTTGCTGAAAAGTGCAACCACTATTCTAGTCCCAAAAAAGCAGAAGACATCTTTGGGTGGCTTAAATTGAAGGGGATGAGTTTTAGCAGTTGTCATTTTATCCTCTTTCCACCTATTAATGGTCTTGTCTGTGTCACAATTTGTAATCCTCAAACTTGTAATGTCATACACAAGAGAGCATAGATCCCAGCTTGACTATGGAGTGAACCTTAGAGAAAGTAACCACATAGATTGCCCTCTACATTAAACAAACAGGGGAATAGACCATGACATGAATCTAAGGTGTGTAAGATACATACCAGGGCTTGCTGAAAAGTGCAATCACTATTCTAGTCCCAAACCACATACTTCAGTTGTCAGCTTTAACAACGAGAAATAAAAAAGAGAAACAGAGCTGAGATTTGCATTTTATATCAAATGCTCTTAATTTTATTTCAGAAACAAATAAAAAGTAGTTTGGAATTTGAATTTGTGCATGAGGCTTAGCCCCAACACAACAACATTAACAAAATTCTTAGGTCCCATTTTCTTCTTTTTGTAATAAAGGAGTTGTCTTGACATCAAAGACCAACTGATTCCAATGCATTATAAATGACACTTGAGTAAATAATTCTATTTGCAACTAAAATATTCTCACCTGTTGTGTACAAGACACCCTCTTCATTGACGGGGCTGTGCATCGATGATGTTCTTATGGTGAGAGATGCACAAGAAAACATGACCAATGTCAACTTGATATATAGTCTTTGTTTATCAAATTTGATAAACGAAGACTTCATGAACAATTTTTTGTAAATTAAAAGCATAGGGATCATTATCCAATTTGGTCCACGTTAAGTCAGGGTGCTGAGATGGGTGGACTGGCTATAGACTGAACCTTTAGTGATACAAAATCAAGGACTCCTTTGATTTCCATGAAAATGGAATGTCATATATATGTACATTTAAGGGTGTGTATACATAGCACTTTAGCATAAATGTGTGGAGAAAATTAAAAAGGCAACTTTCAAAGTCACTAGGTAAAATTAAAAAAAAATAGTGTTATAGAAAAAGGTAGTATATAAATTAGTTGTATTTATAAGAATCAGGCTTGTAATTGGAATCCTATCAATGCCTCCATTCTGAAAAAAAAGGCACTTCAAATGTCTACTAATCAGAAGTTTCATCTTCTACGGGGGGATTCGTTGGTCTTACAGCCCGTTCACATAATTTGTGCCAAACATCTAACTATATACCCTCTTTCTCTCTCTCTCTCTCTCTCTCACACACACACACACACACACACACACAGAGCACAACAACAAACAAAAAAAAGTTGCCCAACAAGAAAAGGCAACAGACCAGAACAATAACAACTCATAAACATTAAATTGTGAGATAAAACAACTTTAAAATATATACCTTGGGAGAAAATCCACAACTATGCAGAGAGAGAGAGAGAGAGAGAGAAAACTTACAGAAGAGATTAAAGGAGAGTTATTCTATGGACCAATTGATTGTCCATAAATTTCTAATAAAAGTGGACCTATTAAGTAAAAAACATAGAGTCAAAGAGATAATTTATGAGCAGCAAGAGTCCTATGACTACTACTGGCATAAATTGAAGAAGAAATTGTTGATGCTAAGTCTCTTGCACTTTCTACTGGTTATCCATGGATTAGTGGTCTAAAAAATTATCATAAGAGGAGACATGTTATTTGTTCCTTATATATATAATTTGGATGGAAAAAATAATGAAATGTCTGCAATCAAATGAAGTAGTTCTATATGTTAACTTGGGAAAAGAGTGCTTATAGACAATAGATGAGGAAAAGGTACCGTACCACCAGTGCCCTTGAATTGAATGCTCCAATTGTAGCAAACTATGTAGACACCCATCAACTTAGCATCCTGGTGAAATGTTAATGGTAAAATTGGCAGTTAGTTAAAATCAAGTGAAAGCCTATCAATGAAAACAAGGCACATTTGCACCAGTGCTCTTAAAAATCAATGAAAACTTACCACGCAAAATGAAGGAGAAGGGAATATAGACATTGATTGTTATTATACCCGGTAGAAGTTGCTTGATGTTACCAAAATTCAATACAAAAGAATCTAATATTTGAGACCATAATCACCAAAACTCACATAACCTACTACCTAAATACAACAAACTACACACTTCATTTAATGGAGAATATGAAAATTAATTTTCAGTTTTACCAAGCAGAGAATGTAGAAGAAAACTGGATGTACAATTAGTCAAGGAAACTAAAATTTATGAAATTATAGGTTTTACTAGAAGGGCAATTGGATGCATCAGTGGTGGCTTCATTGGCAATGGCCGAGGGTCAGAGTCTATGTCAAAGACTTGGCAAAGAGACGGAGAGAGATATGGAAATTGATCGGGCTGAAGAAAGTAGAGAGAGAGACGAGGAGTACAAGGGTAGTCGAAGCTTTACGATTTTTAATGAAGTGGGTTCTGTAGCTACAAATTAAAAGGAGGATCTAATCGATTTCATTGTAGTTTACAATTGTAATTGAATATTTATTCCTAGAATAGGAATGGTCTAGGGGTGATATTAAAAAGAAGGATATGATTGTCTTTATATAATTATTTGAGGTTAAAAGAGGAAAATAATTTTTTTTTTGGGTAAGGTACTTTTAGAAGTATATATATATTAGTACGAGTATATGCAAGAGTGGAATGACTTGAGTGAGAACAACTTTATCAAAAAGTAGTAAATTCCTAATCACTTTAGTTATATCTCAGGGTTTGCCTCAAGTTTGTTTTGCCACTAATTTAATAAAGAAGAGCTTCTTAACTCTGACCAACCTAATAATAGTTATCAAAATCATACGATTCACGATTCGATTTGTACGATTTGGTTCGATACGAATACAAAACGATTCGTATCTTATGTGAGAATCGTTTTAGAGTTGAATTGCACTTGGATCATACGATTCAATTCGTATCACACAAATTGCACGATTCAATCACTTTTTTTTTAAAATCTAAATTTTTGGCAAAATGACGTTTTGTTTGCAGAGGATCATACGCCCTAATAAAAACTCAATCTCTTTGCTCGTTCTCTCTATGGTGTCGTCTAAAGTTTGTCTTGCGTTGTCTAAAGCTAAAGGTCATAGCTAACGCTCTCGCATCATCGGTTGATTTTTGCTCTCAATTCTTTCATGAGTAGTTTGTTAGTTTTTAATTTTTTGTTTCAAAACATTGACCAATATGTTTTCTCTCAATCAATTTTTTTATTTGTTTCTTTTTCATTCATGTCTGTAACCTAATCTATACTGAGAATCACTATTTTAGTTTTTGAATAGTTATAGTTTTTTCATGAATTTTTTTTTCAAGTTGTTAAATTTAAAAATAGTTAAGTAAAAGATGAAAATGAAGTAAAAACTAGCGTCTTTCCATTTAGACGACGTGATTATGTCAATTGATTATTTTTATAATGCAATAATGCAATAATGTTCAATATTTAATATTTTATCTATTTTAAATATGTAATATTATTTTTTTATTTTTGTTCAAATTTTGTTTCAAATTTACGATTTATGATTCGATACGATTATCAAATTTAGGATTTCGATTCACGATACGAATCGCGATTTGACAATTATAAACCTAACTCATACTCAAATGTCGCAATCGCATGACCATAATTGTTAGTATCGTACGATACGCGATAAGTATTGTATGATACGTTACGATACAGGCCTAAAATGATACTGATTGTAGTTATGTATCATTTTTGCGTCGTATTGTCTGATATACGATACGTTTTTACGATACGATACGCATGATACATGCATTTATTTTTAAAAAACGACGTCGTTTTGTGCCAATAATTTAATTTTTTTTAATCCCTATAACCATTGAAACGACGTCGTTTCAGTGGCTAGGGTTACAAAAAAAAATAAAATTCCTCATTTCTCTTCGCTAGTCAGAAGTCTCTGGGTCTTCGACTTTGGGTTCTTCAGCCTCCGTCGACCGTGGGTTCTTCAGCCTCCTTCGACGACTTTGACTGTGGGTTTTTCAGCTTCCTTCGACTGTGGGTTCTTCGACTTCGACTGTAGGTTCTTCGACTTCGACTGTAGGTTCTTCGACTGTGGGTTCTTCGACTGTGGGTCTTCGACTATAGGTTCCATCGAAGCTGTATTTTTCCTTCTCCCGGTACTCCATCAAAGCTCTCTTTTTCTTCTTCTTCTTCTTCCCTTCTCCATTGAAACTTGTGGTCCTGTGCTGTAAGAAATGATGTTAATTTTAATTTTGTGAAATAGTGGTATCACCTGCGTCCAATTTTCACATAGAAATGACTAAAAAACTTGCTAATGATCCCACACGGGAATATTGTGACAAAGTAGAAGGATCAAGGTTGAAATTGAAATGCATTCATTGTGCAAATGTCTATTGGAGAGGCATTTCAAGCATGAAAAATTATTTTGCAGGTAATCGCAAAGATGTAGCGTCGTGTAAGCATTACCCTGAGGAAGTAATTGAATTTTTTAAGTAATTGTTGGAAGATAGGGCTTTAAGCAAAGATATTAGTCTTGTGGATTCGAAAAGTAGTGGCAGTGTGGGTAGTACTACTATTGATAAAATACAACCAACCACCACTATTACATTGAATACCATATTGAAGAAAAAGGGTAGGGAAGATGTATGCTTGGATATTTGTAGATGTTTTTATGCTAATGCCCTTCCTTTTAATTTGGTAAAGGATCCATATTTTGTAAGAATGTTAGAATCTGTTGCATCGTTTGGCAAGAGATTGAAATCTCCATTGTATCATGAGGTGAGATGTTCTTTTTTGAAAAAAGAAACAAATTTGATTAATGGTGGGTTGATGAAAAATTATAAAACAAAGTGGAGAAAGACGGATTGTACTCTTATGTCTGATGGATGGACTGATGAAAAACATCACTCTATCATAAATTTTTTAATGAATAGTCCTAGAGGAAGTGTGTTTCTTAAAGGTATTGATACTTTAGGCATTTGTAAGAATGCGGGTAATCTTTTTGAGCTTTTAGATTCAATGGTAGAAGAGATTGGTGAGGACAATGTTGTTTAGGTTATAGCTAATAGTGCACCGGCTTATGTAAAAGTTGGGGAGTTGTTAATGACAAAGATGAAAAAATTGTTTTGGTCTCCCTGCGCTGCACATTGTTTAGATCTTATTTTGACGGATATTGGAGACCTTCCTCTACACAAGGATATAATGTCAAAGACAAGAAAAATCACAGTTTATATTTATAGACATTCTTGGGTGTTAAATTTTATGAGGAAGTATACAAAGAAAAGGGATTTGGTGAGAGCTTGTGTGACCAGATTTGCCACCTCATATTTAANTTAACCCATAACACTCAAAATAGGGGAATAAAGGTGAAGATTCAGTTATTTTTCACAAAAAGTTTTATCATTTTTCACATATTTCTCGACTACTCTNCGGCAGAGAAGTCAATACTGTAAGAAGGGTGATGGTGTAAAAGTGATGAATATTATACTAGCTGACCAAAATTTTTGGGAATCAACCAAGTATTGCTTGAAGTGTGTGTTGTCATTGGTGAAGGTGTTGAGGTTTGTAGATGGGGATCTAAAGCCTGCCATGAGGTATATTTACGAGGCAATGGACAAGGCAAAGGAACAAATCCAAAAGAATTTTCGTACTATGAAGAAGCACTATGAGCCCATATGGACTATTGTTGATACTAGATGAAACATGCAATTACAAAGACCTCTTCATGCAGTTGCCTATTATCTCAATCCCGCATAAGATTGAAGTTTTTCAATTTTTATATCATTTTATATCTATATATTGTATACTGATCAATGATCATTGTAAATCAAAATAACTATTTCAGGTTTCATTACACTAGTAGTGCGGACTATGAGATAAAGATGGGACTTTATCAGACTATTCAGAGAATGTGCCCAAGTCCTATTGTGAGAGAAAAAGTTAATAAACAATTAGATATCTTTCATAATGCTGATTTGATGTTTGGAATGAACATGACAATCCAAATGAGGAAGAAAAAACAACCTGGTTAGTGGTAACCTAACTTAAGTTAGTCATTTGAATGCAATTGCTTAAGTTAGTTAATGGAGTATTCTATTATAATTTTTTATAGCCTTGTGGTGGGAATCATTTGGAGGATGTTGTTCAGAGTTGCAACAACTTGCTATCCGCATCCTTAGCTTGACTTGTAGTGCCATAGGATGTGAGAGGAATCGGAGTACATTTGACCAAGTGCACTCTAAGAGGAGAAATCGATTAGAGCAACAAAGATTAAGTGCACTTGTGTTTGTGAAGTATAATCTTCGATTGGAGGTAAGACACCAAAAGAGAATATTAGAGGGTGATTCCTATGATCCTATTTTTCTCTCAGATATGGAATCTGATGATGAGTGGATCACTGAAAAAGAAGATGCACTCCTTCCTGAGGACACTACTTGGATGAATGTTGATGAATGTTTTGAGGTTCAAGAAAGGACTAGCAAAAAGAGAAAGAGAGGTAAATAATATATAATTAAAATGTAGTGGTTGTTTTTTCTTCTTCTCCATTACTTTGATTTTTTTTTTTATATTTTGTATTGGTTGCTTTGTAAGGCCTAGAAATCTTTCTTTAAATAAGAAAAAAGGGAAGCAAATAGTTTAACTTGAAGATGAGAATGAGGATAAGAATGAACAAATACAAGAAGTTGAAGATGATGAAGGAAGTGAAGACTTGTTGGCATCCGATCACAATGATGGTGATGATGCATTTTCAATTAAAATTAAAAATTGAGTTCAAAATGGATGTTAGAAATTTAGATTAGAAGTCTCTCTGGTGTTTGAAGTTTGAATTAGTGAACTATGGTTGTGAACTTTGCATTATAATAGTAGTGGATTATGTTGATAACTTGAATAGTTGGTGGAGTATTAATGAAATGCTATATTTTTTATGAGTGTATGACTTTTTTTCAAAGGTATATATATTTTTTTATTATTTATTTAAAATTGCATCGTATCTTACGATACACGATACGATACACGATACGATACAATATTTGTATCTTACTATACGCCTTACGATACACGATTTGATAACTATGCGCATGACTAATATATGTTTTGTTGTATGATGTTCTATAGTGTATATAATTTGTTAATGATATAGTATTGGTTAATGGAACTACTGTTGAACAATGAATTAGAAGTTTGGTCTTAGGTGATATGCGTTAGAATAAAAAAGAATTTAAGATAAACAAAATAGACACTAAGCATATGGAATGTGAATTTTGTAAGTAGTAAAAATGGGAGACTAAAGATCAAAGATAAAAAAATCTCCTATAGGTGGATACTTTCAATATTTGGGGTTAGTTTTAGATAAGGAGGGTGAAATTGGATATGATGTTAATTGTAAATTTGAGCAATACATCATATTTTATTTGATAATATATATAGGTCTGTCAAAATCTGACACGACACGATTAACCAACACGA